TAGATATTGTAAGTAATACATATTTTTAAAAGAACAAAACTTTAAAATACCAGCGTGTCACTTGAATCTCGCAATGAATTGCATTCAGTAGTTGACCAGGGTAGTACTTGAAAAGCGGATTCGAACCCAACTTAAGCTTAACTATCAGGCTAAATAAATAGGTAATATTTTTGTTAAATAAATATATATTTATGTATGTTCCTATGTTTTTCCATTAAATCGTCGGAAACTATAAGTCCTGTATCCCAGTTATGTAATGGAAGTTATATAAAACATGAATTGGAACAAGGTACAAGTAATGCATTTGAAATGGAAGATATTATGTGTTCAAGAAATATTTTAGTAGAAAATGTATTAAATATGTCAGCATTGTATAAAAGTCATTGCTCCTCTATACTGTTAGTGTAATAGTTTTACACTGCAGTTATTTTAGAATTTTAAAATTATTACTTGAAAATTTAAGTTAATCTAATTATGTTACGACGACTTTCAGCCCTTTTAGTTTAAAAAAAAAAACTATTATAGATCTATGATAACCGTTTCTTCTAACTTTAATGCCACAATTTTATGAGATAAAGTATAAATCCTCATAGTCAAGTATCAATTGATTGTATTGTTTTATTCTATTAAAAATATTTTTTTTATCAAGAAACTGATCGAATTTGTAAATATATGGACTAAGAATATTAGATTGTAACATGTTATCATCTATATTAATTGTATAATTCATTATACTTTATTTTTAAATGTTTAGATAAGTGACTTTTCAATTTAGGCGAATATTATTTTCAATGGGTAATGAAAATTAATATATTTATTTTTACATGATCTCTAAATCGTGTGTGTGTACAGAAGGGGAATATTTTCTTTAACTAAACATGTTTTACTCGAATTTGACGTAATTACAATAGCTTGTTTGTTTTATAAAGTACAGTATTATACGCAAATGATTGTCAAGTAATTTACATACAGATGTTTTAGATGTTTACTTACGTCATGTGTGACGTCATATAACTAAGTAAAGAGAGCAAACCGTATTAAGCAGTGTGTTACGCAATAGTATATCTACAAAATGTATAGAAAATCATTCCTTGATTCATCAAAAGTCTACTGAGAACATAGACCTCTACCATAGATTGTCTCATATATATGTTATCAAAGATATAAATATCTTGCGTCTTACTACAGCCACGGGATGACATGGAGTAGTGTATAGTCGGTATATAACATAAAGTTCGTGATATAATACACTTGGGGTGTTAGTTTAAACACCGTTATCCTTGAAACCAGTGGTTTGGTTTCACTTATAGAACGTAAATGCAATGAAAAATAACAACATTTTTTTTAGTAAAATCTCAATTTTTCCTTAATTCCTCAATTTTTGTCTGTCCTAAGCCAGGATGAAAGTATGAAGGAAAAGTTACATCATAGGTTATGTCTATCTATTGTGCTTTTATTGGAATGTTGTGTAGGTAGCTAGGGCGGGCGGTGATCTTTACAGTGATTACGTCACTTGGGCGCGTAGGTTATCCATGAATTTACGGACGGTGTCGGACAGAAACTTAAAATTTTATGAAAGAAAATAGCGTTTTTTTAATTCGGATAAATATTTTTATATTAAAGCCTATCTATGGTTTTAGTGACAACGGTGTTTACACTTACACTGTATATATATACATCACAATATTGATTCTACGTCCTTTCATTTCGCATTATTGTAGCGTGCACCACTTGTAGACAATTTTTATACATTATGACAGCGAATATTGGTCTATTAAATAATTTCAAAGATAGTGTTTAACTCATTTCTTTGAAAATTTACCATATGTCGATATACAAATATTCGTATATTGCCAGGCGGAGGGAAACCAATCAGGACTCCCTTCCATATTACAAATTATCCAGAATCCACGTAATATACATAGTTTTTAATTCATTCTCCTGTTTAACGCAATTCCTTTGTATGGCGCGACGTTGCCACTCTTATTAGTTATTCCGCTTTGTAATATTTTATTTATAGGTGATATTTTGTTTATGTAGGTATTCGATAGATTCCTATAGTCTGTTTTTTTTTCGCAGGAGACAAAAATAACAGATTTTTATTAGATTCGTTTAGCACGAATAATACAGTTTTTATGATTCAGGTTAAGATTAGATTTAATTTTAGTCACTTAAGTTTCGTATATTGTTCAAAATAATGAAATAAATCCACAGAATGTGCAGTTACGAAAAATACGAAATATCATTTTTGTCTCCGGCGAAAAAAAAAACAGATATCATGATTAATTTACCAACTAGTTATTCGTTTAGTAAATACGAAAAAATATCTAGGATTGGCTTAATATAGTCAATCTAAAAAGATTGACTTTATTATTATTTATTTTACTATTGTAAATAAGTACTAATTGTACATATTGACTGGTTTAATAGAAGTTCGTTTTCTTATATTGTGACTAATAACCTAATATAACCTTGGGAAGAAACTCATTTTAATATAAGTAAAAAAAAGTAAAGTTACAGCCTATATACGTCCCACTGCTGGGCTCAGGCCTCCCCTCATTTCTGAGAAGGGTTAGGGCAAGGAAGTGTCCGCCGCGCTGCCCAAATGCGTGTTGACGAACTTCACATGTCTTCGAAATATTTTTTTTCTTATTCCTCAGACATGCAGGTTTCCTCACGATGTTTTCCATCACCGCCGAGCACGTGGTAAATCAGCACTTAAAATTGCAATTAACAATTTCATTGGTGCCGGCGGGGATCGAACCCGGGTTACTCGCGTTCTGTTATATTTACAGCGAGCGTTAACCACTGAGCTACCACGGCTTAATATAAGGTTTTACTGCATTAACTGCCAATGGGTTGTTAATTTCTACAATAGACCGTGGCGTATTGTTGCTGACATGAATAATTCCGAAAATATAATTAATTTACTTGACCATATTGAGTTTTGGTGCTCTCACTGCGAGTTTACTTTTTATGATCACTATCTTAAGGATGAGTGCGAACTATTTACCTAATCTGTACAAAATTACTCACTACTTAACTAGATTCATTTTTATGAAAGGCTATTTTTGTTAAATTATGATATTATGTTTGGTTTTGCAGTTAGTTGAAATACAATTTGTTTGTGTGTGTTTGTTAAATATTGGACCTATATTACTAAAAACATGCATATCGTGCTCTAATTGGCGTCCGTATTGTGACCTACGCACATTAAGAACTTTCCACGCCTATGCTTGCTTGCATTTAAGTTTCTGTGGTTATATTTAGTAACTTAGGTAAATAAACTTGTGTAAGTTGATTACTTGTACTTGACATGGACATTGAACGGAGTATTTACCCATATACGGACGTAAGAATATCCTAAAATATTCACACTAAGTTTTATTTGACGTCCACTTCTTCGATATCCGATGTCCAAAGTTGTTGTTGATTATTGCATTTTACTATTTATTTATGTTGATTATTTATTTAGTGCTCAAGGCATATTTTGGTATTTTTTGTCGGTTTATGCTGTACTCAGTGCCATTAGATAATTTTACTTTCCAATTTGTTTTCGTGTCAGATTTTGCTACATATAATAATATGAACGTCCAAATATCCTAAAACATTCATACTGAATGATATTTGACGTCCATATTTGCGAATTTTGTTATATTTATATGGCGAATGCTACACGCGCGATATTTATCACGATCTGGGACACGATCTGGAATGACGTATCGCGATCCATATTGACACACCTTACACGTTCATTAGGGATCACGTCAGTATTGGGCACAAAACTGTTAAGTGCAGACGTATCTACATATACAATGTGTCATATCATACACACCTTATTATAATGATATATATTTGTATTATATAACACCTATTAATGTCAAAATCATTATCTCAATCAATCAACTAATAAAACACACACACACACACACGCGTACTTTTACTTGTGTATTTCATATTTGTAAAATATGTACATTTTGTAAACTTGATAGTAAACTGTTTTCTTTATCAGTTAAAATTATTGCATAACTACTCTGTATTTAAATCTTTGTACTATGTTTTGGGAGAAGACCCTGACATTTAAGATACAGGCTCTGCCTAGTCTAGATGTCAGTGACTTCATATTACTGTAGAAGTACTTAACTGTAAGCTTAGTTTTGTTACTGGTTATCGTGTGTACATAATCTTAAGGATGCAATAAATGTTATTATTGTTATTATATTATCTAAAATGGACTGAAATGTAGAAAAAGCATTTTTAATAGGATAGGGTGATAAACGAGCACACAGTCCACCTGATGGTAAGTGGTTGCTGTGGCCCATAGACATCTACATCTATCCTCGACTACAAATCAGAATGCAGATGCGTTGTCACCCGTGAGGATTAAGATGGAATGCCTCGTTTCCAGTAAAAAGGGTCTCCAGTTCTCTACACTCACCATAAGAAACAGAGCAGTATTAAGCTACTATTTTATGCTGGTATTCTGTGAGAGCGTGGTCCTTCCTTGGTCAAGCCGACCTATTCGTAATACAATTATACTACTATAAT